AGTTTATTATCTACTAATTATTTTTATAAAATATTTTTTCTAGTAAATAATATTAATTTTTTCTAGTTTGCCTATTTAGATGCTTTAAAATATTTTATAAAAAAGCTAGTAGAGCTATTATTATAAAACTAAAATCTATTTTTATATAAATAAGTTTTTTTTAGATCTTTAGTTTTTTTTTAAATGGTTTTTTTTGCTTCTGGAGTAAGTTCTGCTGTTATAATTTAATATTATTTTTTAAAATATTTAATTAGCTAACTTTATCTTTATTATTACTATAAAGTTAAATAATAATATGTAGTTTATTATATAGGACTTAGTTTTTTTCCCTTTATAAAAAATAGGCTAATTTTATATATAGCTATTAACTATACTATTTTTATTTCTACAGAGCTAATTAACTTTTATACTTTTATTTTTTACTATATAAATTTTTTACTAAGTAGACTAGAATTTTAGCTAACAGCCTTTAATATATTATAAATCTACTTTCTAAAAAAAAGCTTCTACTACTACTACTACTATTTTCACTATATTTTTTATTATTATGTTTTTGTTGTACAATACCCGTGGCATGCAGCCGCCAGCCCCCACTCCAACACTAATATTGTTACTGATTCGTCGGGCTTCCAATCCGGGTTTTTATATTAGTATAAAGCTGATTCCTCTTTTCTAAAATATATATAAGTACTTAAAATCCTTAGAGGATTAGGAGTCTCTAAGAATTAGTTTTATAATTAATAAAAGACTACTTTTAACTGCTTTTATCTTACCTAATTAATATATCTACTGTATTAAGTAGTTCCTAACAATTTCTAATTCTTTTTTCTTTCTAATTATCTAAAGAAAAGCAGTATATTTTTTACTAAATTTTTACTAAAATCCCTTTAGAGTACTTTATCTGCTTTAGAATAGAATCATCCTATATAAGCAGATATTTAAAAAGTAGAAGCTACTATCCACCAACTAAAACAGTTAAAATATTTAAAGAAGCAGGTCCAAGTTTTATAAACTAAATATAAAGCTATTAAACCCCTAGCAGGAACAAGTTAATATTATATAAATTATATTTTATCCTCTAAAAAGAAAAAGAAAGAAATTAAACTTAAAAAAATTCCTATATTCTTTCTTTAATTCAGCCTATAATAAAGAACTGAATAGATTTGTAATTTATAATATACTTTTAAAAACACTTTTTAAAAGTACTAAACTAAAAACTAAAAAGTTTTAGCTGCAGTTAGCTATTTAGACTCTATCTATCAGCAGAGGTAGTATTAATATATTAATAAAAAATTACTAAAAAACTGCAGAAAAGCTAAAAAATCATAGGATTATTTTATTTAATAGACTTTTTTTTTATTTAAAATACTGCTATTCTGTAATCTAATACTATAAAACAGCTTAAACAGGCCTATTAGTAAAAAAATCAAAATCTAAAAAAGTTCTACTTCTATTTGGATATTCTAAAACAATACTTTAAGCTAGAATAAAAAAATAAATATATTTTATTTTTCTTCTTTAAGTTAGTACTGGAGCTTAGTTGATATATATATAAATATATATTAAAACTACTGGAAACTTAAGAGGAGATAGTATCTATTACTATTTATTACTAGAATATACTAATTTATAAGAGAAAATAGGAGTTAGATATTTAAAACTATTTTAATAAAGGCTTTAAAAAATTAAGATTCTTATAATAAAACTACAAGTCTTTTTTATTAAAATCCTATTAAAACAGAAAAAACTATACGAAGGAAATACTCTGTTATTATATATATAATAGTAAATTTTATTTCTTAAATTATTACCTTTAGAAGGGCTGAGGCGGAACTAAAAAAAAACTAATAAAAAAAATTTTAGTTAAAAAAGTCCCTATATTCTTAACTAAGTAGCCTAAAGTAGGGACTATTACTTATTTTACTATACTTATTTTTTTTAAAATACTTTTAAAATCTATACAGATTTAGATTTGTATACTAAAGTTAATCTAATCAGCTACTAATTTATTCTATAGTTTTATTTAAATACAGCTTATTTTATAGCTTTATTAATTATTACTATTAATTATCTTACTTTACCTACTTATAGTGTATAGAAGATTTTTATTACTGCTATTAATTTAAAAGGGATTATACAGTTTTTTATAAAACTTTATATAGCTATTAACTAAGATCTAGGACTTTTTGGAAGCCCTATTTTACTTTTTATAACTATTTTAAAAAATCTATATATTTATTTATCTGTATAGAATTATTAATAGTAGTATAAGATTTAAGTATTAAAAATCTTAATTTTTTATAAATTTATACAAGCTTGCTGAAACCTTACCTATATTTATACTATAATAAAACTTTCTAAAGATATCTGATTACCTAATAATAAAAACCCTATAAAAAATCTAGAAAAACCTATTAACTAAATAATAATACCTTTAGAACTCTATGATTTTTCTAATATATTTTTTTAAACTATTTATAATAACTTTTTTTTTATAGTTTCTTTAACTATACTATTAATCTAAAAGAGGGTAAAACCCTACTGTATAGGCCTATTTACTTTTTTTTTAAATAGAATTTTAGTTTTTTTATTGTTATATTAATAAGAACCTCCGGCTAGAGCGGATTTAACCCTTAAAAAGCCCTATAGAGGCTCCTATTTTTTTTATACTAAAAAAAAATAAAGGTCTTTAATTATATATAGACTATAGAAGACTTAATAAGATTTTAGTTAAAAATTATTATTTTTTATCTTTAATTTTAAAAATCTTAGATAGGATTGCGGGAGTCCAGTACTTTTTAAAACTAAATATTTAAAATACTTATTATTAAATTTGTATTAAATAAGGGGATAAATAAAAAACAGCTTTCTAAATCTATTATAAATATTTTAAATATTTAATTATACTGTTTGGCTTAACTAATATTCTAATTATATTTTAATACTATATCTATCTAGCTTTTTATAATATTCTAGATCTTTTTTATATTACTTACTTTAATAATATTTTTATCTTTTCTAAAAACTATTCCTTTTATACTTTTTATTTATATTAGATATTAGAATACTTATAAAAAGCAGATCTTTATATTAAACTGTTAAAATATACCTTTTTTAAGATTATATTAAGTTTTTTAGATATATTATATCTTAAGGTGGTGTTTTAATAAACCCTTAATAAATATCTAATATTTTTAAATAGCTAATCCTAACTATATACTATAAAATCCAAGTTTTTTTAGGATTCTGTAATTTTTATTAGTACTTTATTAAAAATTATTTTTTAATTACTTTGCTATTAACTTTCCTTTTAAAAAGCACCTAAAAAGGAAAAAAGCCTGGAAAAATTAAATTTACTACTAAAAAAATAATAGTATTTTAATAACTTTTTTATAGCTTTTAAACTATACCTTTACTAAAGTACTTTAACTTATAGAAATAAATCCAAGTAGAAATAAATACTTTTTAATAAAGTATAGCAGGAATATTATTCCAGCTAGATAATTAAAAAGTATATTACCCTATTATATTCTAGTCTAAAAAATTTAATAGTTCTAAAACTTACTATTTAACCCCAGATTAAGAGCTTTTTACTATTATTTATTTTTTTAAGTATTAGTATTAATATTTTAAAGGGCTATTATATATAGTAGAGATTCTTTTAAACTATTAAAATCTCTAAATATATAAAACA